GTCTCATGAAGTCAGAGTCATGTAGAACATGCAAATAATTGGTATCGGTATCGGTTATAAAATATCAATATCGGTCGATCACTAGTTCTGACTGGTAGATTTACAATAAAGATTGAAAGATTTAGCTTAGTTGTGGTGATGCTGAAGTTATGCTACCTTTGTGTTTGTTTATAGTCTACCTTTAGCTTTTTACTTCTAGTGATTGTTTTTAGGCTTCGGAATTCATAAACATTGTGTTCTTTTATGAAGATTATCTTGATAAACAAAACATGTGCATTGTTGGCGACAGAGCTTATTTACTGCAATAAAGCCAATTAAAAAATCTTACTTTATTTTTGTCAAGGGAACCAGGGTGATGAGAACTTACAAAAATACATCATCCCTGGAGCACTCTGTTGCATTTCTCATAGTTTCCACAAGGTGGAATCTCTAAAATCTCTCAAAGTCCACAGTCGCATTTAGAACAACCAGATAGAATATGCACTGATTCTTCAGGGGGAAATCTGTGGAATGGATTTAAATATGAGATGATTTGAGAACTACACTGCAAAAATGATTTCCTTCCTCAGTATTTTTGTCTTATTTTCCCAGTACAAATATCTAAATATTCTAATTTCTATACCCTAATTTAGCTTTCTAGTGAAACAGTCATTCGATACTATGAATATTGCTGGCTCTGTGACAAATTGCTTATGTTCCACTGTTTTAAATCACTTTGCATAAAAGTATCTGCTAAATGCATAGATGTAAACATTTTTTCTAGAACAACAACAACAACAAAATCATTATGAGAATGTATACTTAAAACGAGATCAACATCTTTAAATATGTCAAGACAAAAATATCTGGGGTAAGCATAAACTTAATACAAAAGGGGAAAGATTTTCTTACCCATTGACAGATTTTTCTTGTTTTAAAACTCACTTAATTTTGATATTATTTTCAGAAGTGACTTAAGTATTTGTCTTTTTCAAGTAAATGTGTGTTTATTCAGGAATTTGTAGATATTTCCAATAGAAAAGGACAAAAATACTAATATATCTATATCTATATGTATATATATATATTTTTTTTTTTTGCGGTCTACACTCAAATGTTGCATATTTGTAGCCAAATTAATGATTTTGAAGAAATATGATCTGGCCTGAAACAAACTGATGGGACGTCATCACCTGCAGTCAGTCTGTCGTAAATAGGAACAAATCTAAATTAACAAACATATATTTTTTATTGAGATTTGATGCAGTGACACAATTTTGCGTCGTGATTACGTAATGACGTCATCACACAATGACATCACGTCATTTAGCAACTTTTAGCAACAAATCGACCTTCCTTTAGCAACTTCCCCTGAAAATTAGTTGGCAACAGTGGTAAAGATTGTGTCAAACATCTCAGCATAGAAGTTGGCATGAAGATGACGATACCCCTCAGTGGCTTCTTCTACGAGTTCTTTTGATCTTGTGGTTTTATAAATGACTTTTGTCACACGCAGCAATGGTGCGCTTTGACTCGTCAGATGAGGAGTCGATGAATTACAGTTTAAGTAACTTCCGTGTTGGCTTCAAGAGAGAGAGCGGGAGGTTTCCGCTCGCGGTTGACGCATCAACACTTCTTATTAGCATATAACGCAGCGTCCTGTGCTCTTCACACCTGTGTCGCGATCATTCACCTGTTAAACACAGCTCTGCTCAGTGTTGTTTGTGTTAGGATGATGAGTGAGGGGTGTTTTGGCGCCTTGTCATGTCTGCTTTCACCACACCTTGTTACTCGTGCTTCAAAAAACTCCTCTGCCACAGGAGTCACTTGGGTGAGATAAACGTGTTTTTCCTGTTCTGTCAGGGAGAGAAGAAATGGAATTAATCACACAAACATAAGCAATTACATATAATTTGTCCTTATGTACTTACTTTGCTGATCGTACCAGCGTAACACGTTTATTAGCATGTTTTCGGACATTTAGCACCTATACATTGGAAGTTCCTCGAAGAACCTGCACAAGGTTTCTTCTCAGTTGTTTAGTATCTGCTATAAGACACATGTAGTAGGATATGCTATAAAGACATGCACACTAGTGATGTTAGGTTCTTGAACGAATCGTTCTTTTGAGCCGGTGTTCCGGTGAATTCAGTTTCCCTGTTAAGGAGTTTATAAGACTGGTTTATTCATTCTTTATAATGTAGACATATCCGCGTTTTTACATCAATGTCTGTAATGTGTGCTGTAGGTGTGAAACTTTCTCAATGAGCCGATCTGTCCGAAAAGAACCGGTTTGCGGAAATGAATCGGACTTTGCATCACTAATGCACACCAAAAGGATTCTCAAACAGCATTATTTGAGATTAATTTGCTCAATTTGGATCATATTCAATTAAGTTAAAGTTTCACTGACCTCATTAAAAGCTCATTAAATGCTCAGTTATGGTACAAGTGAGACTTTTTGAAATTGTTCCCAAGCTGAGGACACGCAGTTCTTTGGGTGGAGCCTAACAGATGTTCTGGTCCAATGAGAATAGCCCTCCATTCCCCTCTAGCGGTGATTCGGTTTCATAACAGGGAGGATTTTCTGTCAAAGCCTGAGGTTTACAGATGAGAACAGTTAGTATTATGGTTTAGTTTTATCTAGTTTTATTTTTATATTTACTGTTTTCACTTTGTTTTTGTTGTGTTTCTGTCATTTTATGTATTTATTTATTTGCTAGTTTAAGTTTATTACTACACGAAAATGACACGTTGCCTTGGCAATTAGCTGAAATAAAATAAATGTTTACGTTTTTTTTTTCTTTTTTTCCCCAAAGGCATAGTTCACCAAACAATGAAAATTCTGTCATGATTCACTGCTCAAGTTGTTCCAAACCTGTATGAATCTCTTTCTTCTGCTGAACACAATAGAAAATATTTTGAAGAATGTGGGAACCAAACAGTTTTTTGATCCCTGTTAACTTCCATACAATATTTTTCCATGCTAAGGAAGTCAATGGGGACCAGCAACTGTTTTGTCACCACATTCTTCAAAATATCTTCTTTTATGTTCAGTAGAAGAATAAAAGTCATGTAGGTTTGGAACAAATTGAGGATGAGTGAATCATGACAGAATTTTTGGGTGAATGTTTATTATTATTATCATTTTTTTTTAAGTCAAAATTTTTTTTTTAATTTTACTACAACTAAAATAACCATGGAAAAAGAATAAATAATTAAGAGCACCAGGCAGAAAATTACCAGGAATTTGCATAAGCTTACTAAAAAGTGCTAATAAGAGTTATATTTTTAGGGGTTGACAATGTGTTAAAGATGATAAATAATGGATAAAGTTTAAGAAATTAATAACTTTGACAGATTAGAGATGCATTACATAAAATAACAGAGAAGAAAGCAAATAAATGCCAAAATACTAGAATCACTTTGAAGTACACTTGTTTCAAAGACAAGCCACCTGAAGTACATTAAATCAAAGTGATAGTTTATGTCTTCCAGTTTTGACCTTGCTGATTTGAACCTTGGTTACCTGTTCGGAGCTTTAGCTCAATTTTATTGAGTAAAACAGGTATAATATTTTCTACAGTCTACCACCATGGTATATTTGGAGTACTATAGAAATTCCATTGTACTGCAAAAGTAATTCATGAAACTGATTTATGACCTATGGTATTTACTATATGGTGCTTTCAAGAATAGCATGGAAAACTACCATGGCATTTTGGAAAGTGTTAAAATATTGATTTGTAGCTTCAATCTGCTGGGTAGCCACTACTGTAATGAGTGACTTAAATACAAATGTCTTGTATGTTTAAGATCTCCATCAGTGTACATTCATAATACTGATCTCATCTCATTAGAACTGGAGCTCTGTTGGTCTGATGCTCTGACATTGGTCTACAAGTTGCACTATACTGCTTAAGAAATTGGCACAAAAAGTGACACATTAAATGAAAACTATAAAAAGGTATTTTACATGTACCATGGTGTTATGTTGATACCATGATGGAAATTCAGTTGTGCTCTTTTAAGCGCTATGTTCCCTTTTTGTAAGATCATTTAAGTAATATATCTTGTAAGTTTCAAAGCATCAGTCAAGAACACAAAAGGAAAGCTGATACAGATGAAATGTGATCTAACATGTTGGAAACACTAGATGGCATTGTTGATCTTTCCCAGCGGAATGAACTGCTTTCTCTTCATCCAGTTCGATACTGAGATTTATTCATTGCCCCACTTGTTGAAATGTGACACTAGTTTACATATTCCCCGTTTCAATTGCTTGAGTCTTTTGTGTTTAAAAAAAAAGCTTTCGTCTCTTTCTCTCCGTACTGTAGAGGTGCATTACAGACACCAGAGGGCGCGCGAACCAAAGTCTCATCAGTTTCTTTGTGAAGGTTTTTGCGTCAATGAGAAAATATTATACTGCGTGTAAATGCACATATATTTACTTTACTAAGTACATTTCCTTTTTTTGTTGTTTTTGTCTTGTGATCTAGACTCAGTAATGGACTACAATTTGTAAGTAATCTAGCCAGCACTGTGTATATGTATTTATTTTATTATTTATTTATTTTACGAAAAAAAATGTGATCAATAATATTTGTCTGTTTGTTTGAATAATATTATTTGAACAATTTTAAATGTGATGCAAGCCCTGGTTTTCCATCTTAAAATGCACCAATCCTGAAGAAACAGTGCTTGTTCTCTGGTGGACATGAAAGCTGGCGCATTTTTCAGACTTTCGCTCTGGCTGTTTTCACACAGACTATGACCAGTCCCATCACACGCGTGGATCTTTATGCATGTGAGTTATCATGGCAGAATGAAGTGTGGTTTATTTTCATGCACGCACGCGCATGCATTCATATTTGGCCATATTGGCTGATTTTTTTGCTCGTGCATATGGCGAATGGATGGTGCATCGAAAGCCTGGTGCGTTCAGTCGTGCGTCAGACACAGAGGTCCTCCCCTTGTGTTTCTATGTTACTGCCCCCTCTCTCGCTCTCTATCCCCCTCCCTTCCTCTCTTCTCTTCTGGCATCCCCCATCCCCCATCGCTTTATGTGCTTCCATACAGCCTGAAAAATCAACCGGAGGAGGAAACCTTCACACTCGCGGAGAATAGACTGACCCTCAGCCACCCAGAAGATCGCTTATAACCGGGATCACAGACTGGATCAGAGTGACCCATCTAAACCATCTCGCACTGGTAAGTCACGTTTGATGTAGTTTTCATTTCTAAAGTCCAGAAACACCATCCAACCACCATTAGAGCTTCACTGCCACCAAACAGCAGCAATGCTTTTCTCCTGCCAGTGTGTGTGTGTTAGTGATGGTGAAGCTCTTTCTAATTTGTCTGATGGTGATTTAAGAGAAAACGAACGCGTTCGATTTCAGACTGTCGATTAACGGCGTTATCGGGACGGATCCGTGAATGACTTTGTTCATTCCCTTGTCATGCATTTGGACATTCCATAGAGCTGAGACACAGAGACGCTCAAAATGGTGTCTGGAGGAGTTTGAGGCCTTTAAACGCACGAGAGAGCCGATCATAAGCGCTGTTATGAGGAAATATGAGGCGCGATCAAAGAATCCGACGCATCCATGTGCAACAATGTAACCGCGATTATGACGCAATAAAGATCTTTTGTTGATCAGCGTTACAGTGTAACGCGCGTTCGAGCGAGTTTTACTTTCTCTTTTTTTTTTTTTTGCATCCATACACGATGCTTTCGGTTGCAGTGCCATAGCTTTTTATGGCGTTATCGATTTTATTTTGGCATATTTTTGCCATTGCATTCCTGGTTGATTGATACAAAGGGAAACAGCACATTGGTCCATATAGCAGTCAGTGTGTTTTGGACGTAATCCATGAGCAATTATGTGCATGTTTATGAAATTAATTTCATGTCTACAGCCATTCACACGCCAGTGTGTGGGTACTTTGTGTTTTAGTGAGGGAATGCAAAACAATATTTCCTATTACCTCGTTCAGTTACAGATATAACAATGGATGACAATTTACCTCATCCATTTGTTTAATCATTTATTTTACAGAGAGAAAGAGAATATGAAAAAATTAATCAATAAATAAAAATTATTAAATATTATAAATTATCAAGCAGCTGCTCAAAATACTCATTTTAATAATGTTTAATAAATAATGAATTATTTATAATGGATGTTATGTTTTTATTGAGGTAGTCTAATGATCAATCTATTATTGTGTCAAAATGCAGAAATAAAACAATTTGGGCACTTAAACAAAGCTTAAAATACTTATATTTTTATATACATTTAATATGTTGTTATTTATAATTGATTTATTTTTTATTCAGGTAATCTAATCTTTTTATAATTGTCAAATGGTGAAATAAAATGTGATTGGACACTTAATAAAAAAAATAATTAAATAATCTACTACTAATAATAATACTAATTAATATTATTAATTATTATTAATATTATATTAATTATTATTAATCCATTAATAAATAATGAATGTTATGCTTTTATTGTTGTAGTCTAATTATCTATTTATTGTTTCAACTTAAACTTAACATGAAAATAATTCCTGTTGTTGCATATATGTATTGTTCTATCTCTAATCAACACAGACAATGAAATGTAAAGTTACCCAACAAAAATGTGACGTCTTCATAATCCAAAGGCCAGAAATCTGACGTTTATGAATCTCTGAGATGTTTCTGCATCTGTGATGCTTGGATTGGCTTCCTCATCATGTGCCGTTCCTGCAATAAAAGCGTCGATAACTTTCTGATTGATGGTCTTAACATTACAGTGGCTGAAGAGACACAGAAAACGCTTCGTTTGTTTTCATTGATAGTTTCATTATCAGCTCGAAATTCAATTTGTACAGAAAAGCTCCTCATCACAGTATGACTGCGACTTATTAAAGGTTTATGGATTGTGCTGCAAGTATGCTGAAGCTTTTGGGCTTTTGTCATAATTAAAGGATTTCTTGTCGTTTGGAGGAGTAGCAGGTGCTCTGATGAAACAGAAGAACAGAAATGTGCTTTTTAAGCATTGAGATCACAGTCAGGCCTAATCATAAAATGTCTTAATTAGTGTGCATACTAAACCAGTATCACTAGTTACTACAGCTTATACTTAAAATCTTAACCCCTAGTATGAAACCTCAGCGCTTACTTTTGTACTTTGCAAAATTATCCCATTTATGATTTAAAAAAATCGTAGAGACTTGAGAGTGGACTTTTCTTGAAGTGTATATAATCCTAAGTGTTTATTTCTCAAGTAATTAACCACCTTGCAACACTCAGAACACCTTTATTTCACAAATAATTACAAAGAAATGGCAAGTAACACATTAGATTTGAAATTTTGAAGTAAAAAAAAAAGACTGAAATGGTATTTTCTTGTAAAACATACTCCAGTAATCTTTGTTTTATTTATTAACCTTGAATAATAATTTTTTACATATTCTTTGTAGAAATGCCTGTATGTTTTATGGTTTGAATGACATTATATTATTTTATATTAAGAGTGGATATAAAAGGAATGTACTTACATTTATAATGCATGTGTGTAGCGAGTGCAGCACATTTTTGCTGTTCATTAGTGTCGTAATGGGTCTCTTCTCTAATGATGGTCTAGAGAACAGTAGCGTAGAGAGGACGCTCAAGTTGTACGATTTCGACTAAATTCACTGCTACATTTTCCTCCCATGACTTCCATACTTTCCGAGAAGCTCTTCTTCACACGTACTCTCAGTAATCGGGCCGCTGATATTTCTCACGAGGGCTCAAAGTCTGCAGTTTGCCACAAACATGTTAGCATGCGAGTCTGTGGCGGCGTGTTAATTGTGTCGCAGTACGTGTCTGCGCACTTCTGCGTTAATGCGTCTTTGTGAGACTCCTTTTTCATCGGAGGTAGTTTTATTTTTGAGTGGAAAAACGGACGGATGTTTTTTATGAACTGTCTGTGTGTGAGCCAAATCCACAGTGAAATGAGAGGATTATGATCGACGGCACCTCTCAGCTGTAATAGTGCTTATAGAGCTCAGATTAACCACACACACACACACACACACACACACCCTGAGGGGATGTTGGTTTCCTCTGATAAACAGGAGCAGAAATGCTCCGAGATCCTGCCTGGTGGCTACAGGGGAATCCCATTAGATTTGCCATGCTGTATCAGTGTCTCCTCATGAGATCAGCTAACAATAACATGAAACGTGACGTCATATAAAATATAGACTGTTAAACATGAGAATCTTGTGAACTGGAAAGAGACCTGCAGTGGCCATATTGAAGAGCATTGTGTGGAGTAGCAATCTGTAGATATTAAAGTTTAGATAATGTTGAGAATTGTTTCTTTCTTATTTATTTATTTTTGTAAAAAAAAAAAACTATTATATAAGTCACATTTTTACTATTACCCTGATATAGTATTATTATTATTAAATATTATTATTTTAGCTTTACCAAATGCAGAACCCACCTTTACAAAAACATCCTGTGGCTGTTCTATAGTATTGTATGGTATTGTGGACATGTGCCATGGTAACTTGATATATGTTACTTAATGATTACTGTATTCATTTACCACAGTATTTACGTGATTCTGAGTGAAATGTTATCATGGAAAAAGAAATAGTACATATCTGCACACTGTTATTATTGCACTAAATTATTTAATACAATTTAAACTGAATTGTATTTATTTTTTTCTTAAATACCTTATCTGTAGAATAAAATTTGGAACAATAATATGTATCATGGGCGACATTAGGGGGGGGGCAAGTTGTTAGTCATGGAAACCCTGATGCCCTGCTGCAATTGGAGCGCTTAGCCAAGCGCTAAATACCCTCAACATGTTTTTGCAGCGTTGAGCAATGTAACCAATCACAGACATATCTGTTGATTTCTTGAACGCAATTGCCAATCAGAAACGTTTTGTCAGAATTCACTCACCGCTGAAAGCGCCGCAGTTTTTAAGTGCAGTTTTGCAAGCTCGTGAATCATCTCATGACTAAGTGCAGACGCGATGTAAATAAGAGATTCATTGTGCAGTTTAGAGAGCTTCATTGATTATAACGGAACTTTGTAAGATGAAAGAAGAACTTTGTGACACTTTTTAGTGACTTTCTAGGGTATAATCCATTTAGAATTTGTATGAAACTTTAGTTTTTCGGACACATAGGCTACACCCTGCAAAGTTTCGGGACTGAATAGCAGTGATTGGCAACGGACTTAACGGATTTAATTCTGGAACCAGTCCTGGCCAAACCTCCACAGACAGCGCACGTCCCGAGCGAGATCTAATTCACGGACCAAAAGCATGTGTAAACTTTATTGAGATCGGGACATATCAACCAGTAATTT